CCCTCCCCCCTCCTCCAGCCCCCCAATCCCTTACTCACCAGCACTGGAGCCCTGGTGCTGAAACATGGGGCCTGGCCAGCAGGGTTTGGGGGGTGTTTTAGTTTGCTGCGCTCCAAAGTAATTTAAGGTGTATTATGCCACTGAATGTGCTACAGCGGCTGGAATTAATGCACAATATGCCACTGACGCATGCAAATACCAACACCATTAAAGCGGTGCAAAAGCATTTAACCCACTTTAAGGTGTTGTGCACACGTCCCTCGTTTCATCTACACACACCCAAGGAAGTGAATTCATTTTAGTTTGAAACTTTTAAGTGTCACTGTAAACTGAAATGGTTCATCTCATCCTCCATGGTGGTATTTTGACATCCCCCATAATCCCTCCAAGTCATGTTTGGGAGTAGAATGTCAGGAGAGGGCTTTGCAGTTGAAGGGCCATCCATCTGAGATTATTTTTAACCAGAATCATCAAAAGAGTAAGTAGTTGCACTTGTCACTGACTTTCTCTTCCCTGCTCATTGTGGCTTCTGGTGGCATGCTATAAGCAGACAGGGGCATAAAGCAGGGTGGGGATAAAAGCATCACGGGATCTGCAGTAGGGGTTAGGAACTGGCAACCTGTGGCTATGGCTCAAATGCACCAGAGCAATGTCAGCGGATTTTTAGGATGTGGGCTGAGTGCTTGCTGTGTGCTGTTGAATGTATGCAAGCTTTTGCTCCTACACACGCACACAACAAATGCCAAATAATTAAATTGTCTTTGCAAACATACAAATTAATCTTTGTAGGTTTACATACAGATTACTATTTAAAAAAAAATAGTAGACGACTTTTTTCCAGATTACATGCTTTTAAATTTAGAAGTCCCCTTATCTGAATCCTATGGTTGAGGTGCAAAACTTCTCATTAGCAATGTCAGTCTAAAGCTTCCTGTGAGGTATAAGACAAAATCTTCAAAAAGGTTTCATTTTCTTTATTGTGTGCTACTGTCCTTTTAATAAGCAGAAAGGCATGAAGCCTCTGCCAATTAACAGACAGTGGGCACATTTAAAATAGATGTTTACTGCAGAATTGACTAATTTGCTCCATAGTAAAACATCACCGTCTAGACAAGTGGTGCCATTAGGAGGGAGTAAACTAATTAACTCTGCCATAGGATAGTACTGCCAGACACAAGTAATGTCCTATGGCCAGGGCAGAGGTCGGGGCAGGGGTTGGGCAGATGCAGGCTGTCTGCTGCTAGCTCAATGCTCCCCACCCTGCTGCCCTTTCCGTGGGAGCCCTGTGCTGGCTGCACACCCCCTGCCTGCCGGGCAGCAGTGGGGGACAAGACTCCATGCTGCCACCAGATGGAGGGCAGCAGGGTGCACAAATCTGGGGGGCATATGCCACCCCAGTGTGCGCACAGCAGTGGGGAGCCACCCCAGACCATGGACAAGCTGCCCGTGGCTGTGTTCTCCTGCACACACCATTGTGTCTGGGCAGCATCCCCAGCCGCTGCCCCAACCCCACCCTCACAGTGGGGTGCCATGATCTGCCCCCTCCCCCCACATAGACTTACCTGAAAGGAGCTGCTCTGCACTGCTGCTGGGCTGTTTTCCCACACATACATGTGGTACCCCATGAGTCCCACTCCTGGCAGCCCCTGCCAGGCTGGACTATTCCCAGCCTGCAAGGGGAACCCGCAATTTCCCATGGATCCCTGCATAACACTGCAAATCTGGGACAAATGCTGTCCCATAGTCATACAGCCCGGGACCAGGACTTAAGGTTCCAATTGGGGGACTGTCCTGTCCATAGGAATGGGTGGTCAGCCTAAAGCCGACCCCCAGAGTTCCTGCCAGCCAGGGCTACTCCACCCTGGTTTAACATGCTGCAGTCCCAGGCACACATGCAAACTGTGCTGGAGTTTATTCAGCAGCATTAACTGCATGTGTGGATGTGCCCAGTGTAGCCTAGTACAACATGAATTGTTTGAAGCTGAGACATTTTCCCTTGTTTTGTTTCTTCACTAAGGATGAGTTTAGGCCCCACTGTTGTACCCAATGTTGCAGCTAGGTGGGGTAACATTCAACTCCTCTTAGTTTATTATAATGCTGCTTCTTAAGCCAAGATCCAGAAAAACATTTTTGGTCTCAGACCTGATGACATTCTATGGGGTGGACTCATATACCTCTTGGAGGGTGAAAGTGAGTGGGAGGCTCCTAGCTGCACTGATAAGGAAATTGGTGCCTCGGTATGAAAGCACCTTTCACATGTGGCCCACAGGGTCCCTCCTGGCTGTCACTGCTCTCCCCCTCCAAACCATGTTATTGCTCCTGCCATGGCAGCTAGGTTGTTCAGGATCCCTTGTGGTCCTTCACTGTCACCAAGGTGTCCATGCTGCACTTGCTAAATGTGAAAAAGGCAGGAGTTGGCTGGTTGCACTGCAGATGGGCAGCAGGTGTGGATGGAAGGGTGGGGGCTTGCACATGTGGCAGAGGGGAGCCTTGCTGCCCACACAGCCAGGTGTATGCAGGGGAGGAGGCTCCTTTTGCTGTCCATGCAACAGGTAGGAGCATGCTGGGCTGCCAGCACAGCAGGGGAAATCCTGGGAGAGCTGTGAGGGGTCCTCAGTAATGTAATCCATGCGTCATGAAGCCCTCAGCTGCCTGGGTGTCAGACGGCCATGGTTTAATTTATTAAATAACAGCCACTCAGATGAAGATCTTGATGCCAGCCTGTTTCTTAACTCATTGCCATAAGCCACCCTAAAAAATGCCTTTTGCTTGTCAATGTTTAGATTTTTTCAAACATTATTCTATTATTACTATCATTGCCCAGCTAATCACAACTTTCAGGGAACTGGTCTGATAAATATCAATAATATTGTAAATATTTAAATCCAAATATTTATTTGAAATGATCTGATGTTTTCTAACACTTGATTGTTAAGTCAACCTTCCTACTACTGTGAGTACATCTTGTTGATACACTTTGATTCCCACTCCATTATGTCCATTTTACCTTTCCAGTGTGGTAAATAGAAGTGAATGCTTTGTTTCAGATGCTTATAAGATGCAGAGTGGTGGGTAAATACAACAGACTGAAATTATTTGAACAAAACACTTTTTTCTATCTTTTAATAGCAGCTAGCAAGTACAAACTCCACTCCTGCATCAAAACTCCAGTCTTGGCACCTTTAAAAAAAGAGAACACAGGGATAACCAGAAGGTTTATAGTTTAATATCTTAACTTTCTTTTATTCCCTTTTAAAAAGATATTCTTTAAAAAAATAACTAAAACAAAGGAAATTAAATTGATAGGGAAAAAGTAGGGAAAAAGAAGGAAAGGAAAAGCATGTAATTGAGAAATGAAAAGATATATTTTAAGGCTAGCTACTAAAAACCAAAAATGTCTGTTTGAAAATCTGAAAAAATGAAAATAATTTTATAAATTTTCACAAATTTTTTAACTGATCTTGGAAATGAACTCAAACATTTCAAGTAAAGACAATGCATAGAGATCCTGAGTTATGATATACCCACCTTTAAAGCTAATTTCAGTTTTAAAGGTTCTAGTCTCACCTGTTAAATTTAAGCTGGATCCCCAAGCATCCCTATAATGAGAATGAACTGTTAAGTGCACCTTCTGTCCCTCCACTCCAGACACTGTGGCAGGAAAGTCTCACTGATGAACAGAGGAAAGACAGCCCATTTTGTGTTGTAAACATACTGGCAGTATGGGCATAAGTTTTATGTAAAAGATTCTTAGATCCAGATCCTCAAATTGTGGAACTTCATTGACTGTTCATTTTAGAAAATGTATTGCTCAATAAATTCAGAATTTGCATGGTCCTGCCCAGGCTTTAGCATTAATGCCATAGACAAAGTCAGTGTCATTCTACCTGTCAAAGATGATTGGCCTTTGATTTGGGGTGGGAGACTATGAACTTCCTGTGTGGTTCAGTTGGAACATGTTGAACAAAGAGTTCTTCCTCTCTCTCCTGCCCTACTTTTCTCAGAGCAGTCTGATGGTGATACCAGACGTGTTCATCTCTCGAGATTTATATACTGGACCAGGACAAACTGCCAGTTTAGGTTCCATTGCGAGGTTTCAACTATGTTCTGAAGATGTAAAGGTACGAAAAATGTTTCATCTCTAAATTCCAGTAGGACTTTTCATGTAGGGCAGCAGCTCTTTGCTCTAGGTTGAATATATTTGTGTTGAAAAATTCAGAAATGAATGGCAGTACTTAGGGAAAAGAGTGATTACCCAGTAATGTAAAGATACCCAACTTAATTTTATCTTAGACAAATCAGATTCTGGTATCTTTCCAGCTAAGAAAGCAAGAGGCTGCATACAGCCTTAATTAAAAAGGGAGTAAATTAGTCTATCGTGAGTTGTATTGCCTTTCTTAAACTGCACCCATGTTACCCAGGCTAGCTCAGGTACGGCATTTGTGTGTCTGAAGTATAGACAAATTTCTAGATGCATTATTTTAAATTCTGGCCAAGTTTATTCCAAAGAGCCAAATGGTATATTAAAAGATTTTGTATTCCAGTTTGAGGAACACTCAAGTACAGTTCTGTGTTGTATATTCCTCTATAGAATTATGCTTTATTATTTATAAAATGAGCCCAATCCATGAACATGGATACAAACTCATTTGGAAGTTGACGTCTTTGTCTATCTAGACTCTAACTAATCACTAACTCTGAAGTTCACTGTAGCATCATCTAAAACATCCAGCATTAGAACCTAGAAGAAATGAGCAGCCAAGAGCCGGACTACATAAATCTCAAGTTCTACACACCTTCCAAGGAACCAATGGAACAAAGACCTAGGAACATCAAGAACAAAGGTACTGTTCGGTAACAGCCAACTTGCTCCTTAATGTATTACTGATGGGTTTAACCCCTTTATTTCCTTCATTGTCCAAGAGATTAGATATTTGGAGCAGGAAAGCAGAAATGTCCTTTTTCTGCAACACTATGCCATGCCGTGAGGGCTGACTGCTCTTTGGACTAAACTGAGTGATTGTTGATGAGGGCTCACAGAGCTGGCAGGCCTACAAAGTATTTTTTTCTGGAATACTCATTGGATGCTAGATTTATGGGGTGTCTAAATTATGGCAGGTTCATGAAGAGAGTTTATCAGACCTGGCTACTGGGGTTCTGGCTTTGGGGTGTTGGTGCTGCCTCTACTCACTACACTTCAACTGTAGATTGTCAGGAAAGGGCTTGCTTTCCTCATCTTTCTGTTCCTTCTCTTTCTGTAAGATGCTTCAGCTTCATCTTTCCACTGGAAGATCATCACAGTGATTCTGGGGGTCCTCTTCTTGGCAGCTTTGGGAACAGCAGTGACGTTAGCAGTCAAATGTAAGTGATTAGGGGAAAGTCATCACAGGTCTAATGCTGGAGTTAATCCCACTGAACATAATACAGAGTGACCCCACCAAGATATTCTGTCTTTAGGGTTTTGACAGAGAACAGGATGCAATGCTAGGAATATGCTCTGAATCACTGGAAATAATTTGAAATAGCTCTTCTCCCTGTAAAGATACTAAATCCTGTTTTTCTAAGATGGATAAATGCACAATTTGGTCACATCACCCCTGGCATGTATCTGACTATTGAAAGGATACATGGGAAACATCTGGCTGAAATAGAGAAGCGGATCCACTCATTGCCTGTGAAAGTTCCTTGTAAGGGTTGCTTTGAGTCTGGCAATCAACAGAGGGTGTCTAGGTCTAGGCTGTATTTTGTGTTACCTAGAAGACAAATGATATTGTAGACATTGTATCTGTGAAAGACTTTGGAGTTCTTGGTCATGAAAAAGAGGATAAGGTGTATTCACGATTCCCTTACAGATCGCTCCTGCCTACACTGCCCTGACCAGTGGGTGGGTTACAGGGGCAGCTGTTACTTCTTCTCGAGGGTAAAGAAGGATTGGAATTCCAGCCAGGAGTCCTGTTCTGCACAGAGTTCTCATCTCCTGGTGATCGGTGACGCCCAGGAAATGGTAACTACCCATGCACCCTGACCTGATGCTAACAAGCTTCATAGCAGCACTGTTGGGAGATGTGAAGGCTTTGAGTCATGTAAGGTTATGGGGAAAGCAGAATCTGTGCTGCAGCCATGCAGAATAAAAGAAGAATAGACATCCGGTACAGCACAATTTATCCATTTTGCTTGTAAAATTGACAAGTATATAAAGAACCACCATGACGAATTGGGGTCCAACAACCTCTTTTATGCACACTGGGCTGATTAGACTTCCCTTCTCACCCCCATATGTCCCCTGCCTGCCAATTCCCAGTCCTTCATGAATCCTGACAACCATCCCTTGAACTCCCTGGACTACTGACCCATCTGAAATTGTTCATCTGACTGAACAGGTCCAGACTGGAATTAGACCCTGTTGTCTGCCTTCATTGTTTTCAAACACAGTAGTATTTCTGATTGGGGTTGAAAGTGCAGGTGACTCTCTTTTTTCCTTTGTCCTTTCTAGGAGCTGTTCCAGGTGATCTGCCCAGAACCCCGCTGGATAGGGCTGAGGAACAGAACTAGTTATGGCTGGGCCTGGGAAGATGGGTCAACCTTCAATGTTAGGAAGTGAGTCTGGTGTCAGTCTGTGTGTGTGTGTGTGTGTGTGTGTGTGTGTGTGTAAGTCATCCAAATCTTGAGATTCTTAGTGAATATTCAATCTTTAAAAATACAAACATTGCTACTGAAGTCAAAGGAAGAATTTCTACAATAACACAGGCTTAAAACTGGTTAAACATTCCAGGATTTGTTCAGTGGCTTAATAGTAACAATGTTTCAACGGTACATCAGCATCTTCCAGCCAGACACCAGATACTGGCATTTTTAACAGTTGGTAATGTTGTTTTTAATATTACTTCTTTTCCATGGCTAGGAAGCTGAGGGAAACAGAAGAAACATGACATGCTGGGGGTTACCAGTGAGTGCCAGGCACAGATAACAATGTAATCCAGTCTCATGGTTGTGAGTACTCAGCACTGGCCAGTAAATTCTACTACCCAGGTGCATGTACACATTACCTTACAGCGATGTTGTAACTGCGAGTGCTTTAGTACTTCCTTTTCAAAGTACTGAAGCATTGCACACTAAGCGCCTATACTGTGCGGGAGGCAACTAATTTGTGGCAGTGGTGCACTATAACGGGGGAGCATGCCACTGCAGCGAAGTAGTTGCTTGTCTCGTGTATACGCCTGTGGATGGTACATCACCATAGCACATCACTACAGCGACATAACATCATGTGTATATTCACCCACAACGTACTATCTATTTTCTCTATTGTGATTATACCCACTTTCTCTTGTCCTCCACTGTGATGAGTCACCTCCCTCTAAAGAGCAACCCTCTGGGGTTTTCCACCCACCCCTGTAAGGTTCTCTCAGGTTACGCAGATATGTGTATCCACTGGTGATGCCTAGCGGGTGCATGTGGGTGCACGTGGACCCCCTTAGATTGGTCGTGCTCCCCCTGAGATTGGCCGCCACCGAAGCTGCCGGGGGCGTCTGCAGGTGATTGCCACTTGCCACCCAACCCTTCTCCGCTGCTGAGACTGCCTGCAGCATCTGCAGGCAGTCGCCGATAGCTGCTCAGCACTCACCAGCCCCTTCGCCCACCGCCAACACTGCCGCGGCCGTCTGTGGGTGGTGCCTGCTTGGCCCGCCCTTGACGTCGACCTCTCTGAGGCTGCCTGCAGGCGGTCCCTGCTCACCACCACCTCTGCCTGCGGGCAGTCACCGTGCCCCCCTGCCTCAGGAGGCACAAGGCGTTCATGTGTACAGCCAAGGTAATATAGTTAACTGTGTCAAGGGCAGTATTTGACATTGCTAAAAGAGTCACTGGAGTTTTATCTCATTATCATTTGCTAATTCCCTTTCTTATGTGCGTGTGCTTCTTGCAGAGTCACCATTAATAGCCACGTCCAGCACTGTGGAGTCCTAATAGATGGTGCCTTCCACGCTTCTAGCTGTGAAATTGCTGCCCTGTGGGTCTGTGAGAAAGATATGAAGTAACCTTCTCATGCATTTGTCCAGGACACATCCATTGCTTGTGCTTGTTGCATCCTGACTGTGTACCAAGGACACCCCTAAACATTTTTACCAGTGAGCCATACTTGATGGTGCTCCAAGGGTAGCAGTCTGCACTGGCCTACTTTTTGCAATAATAAAGGTGATTAACGTTAATTGCAGCTCTGGCTTTAAGGCATACAACATTGATTCAATGTGCAGGGAGCTAAGCTTTTAAATGATAAATATGGTGATGATGTTTGTATTCCTGCCCATTGGTGCACTTGTTTTGTGACTCATAGCAATGGAAATGAAGAAAGAACTGGAAAAAACAGCTTCAATAAAGGAAAATAATTTCACAGTAATAAGTCTTTCTCCTTTAAATATGATCTCACTACTATATTATGTATCAAGTCAGTAGCACAGAATAGAATTATATTATTTATTCACATTTACATCATGTTAGTATTAACACAAATACATTACAGTTCCTCTCTACTAACTTCTGCAGTTAGCCTTCAAACATTCTTATGATAAAATGATTCCATGTTTACTCTTTTTATCTCTCTCTCCTTAAGTGTTATTAATGATATTTATACATTTTCCTTGTTACATTTTTTAAAAGAGGAGACCAGAAGCACTTCCTTGTGAAAATGAAAGTGGAGCTTCCCAGTGACATTGAAGGCACTGTAAATTTTAACGAGAAGAAAAGAATTACTTGATTGACACAGTAAAAGTTTACATGTGGTATTAAGAGCTTCACACTGGGGTGTGCCTAGCAGGCCCTATTTGATTTAGATTTGGATTCGGCCCGAATCAGGGACAGTGATTAGATTTGTTTATTTGGATCACTGTCCCTGATTAGATTAGATGCTGATTCAGAGAATCAGTGATTCAGACATAAACACAGCTTCAAAAGTTTTTTCTACAAACCTTGATGTAGCAGGCTAGATTCAAGATTGCTGTGATGCTAGGGCATGTGGAACGTCCCACAGGAGTGCGGGGGGCCCTCCACCTGCTTGGCAGTGAGCCTGGAAGCAGACTGGAAGTACTTATGGTCCACTTCTGGGTCTGCCGGGGAGTGTATGGGGGGGCCTCCTGTGCCTCCCTGGCTCAGCGATCAGCCACATGGGGACCCTGGATGCCCCCTCCCCCCCCAAACCAGGAGGCACCAGTCATTGAGCCAGTGGGAGGTGGAGCACAGAGGGGGCCCCCAGCGCACTCCCCGATGAACCCAGAAGAGGACCAGAAGTGCTTCTGGTCCACTTCTGTGTCTGCTGCTGAGTGCACTGGGGAGCTCCCCATGCTTCTGTGGGACCCTCCATGCGCCCCAGCATCACAGCACTCACGAGCCTCTGCTACCTAGAGGAATATAGAAAAAACATTTAAAGCTGTGTCTATGTCGAAATTTCTGAATATTTCCGAATCTCTCCGAATCAGTTCCGAGGGTTCTTACTCCATTCAGAGAGATTAAAGGGTCCTCTGATTCAATTCGGATTCAGAGATTCAGCCACCAGATTGGGCTGAATCTCTGCCGAATTGAATCAGGGACCGAAGCTTCACACAGCCTTTCTTCAGACTATCCCTCTGCAAACCACTACTGAGAAATTATCCTGTCAGCTCAGTAAATTTTAAGAATCAAATGTCTGTGGCTTGATTCTTCTCTGCTATTTATGACTAAAGGGTTTAAGCCTGATTTCCATCTGTATGTTTAGCACTTATAACATGTGATGTACTTGTTCAATAAAGGGAATTAGCATCAGGTTTTCCAGGCTGATGCATCAGCATTTTTCACAGCATTAAATGATTGCCAGTTAGCCACGTGCAGGGTCCAGTATAAGAGATCTCCCTGGGACAGTAGCCACTGGGGCTGGCTGCCTAAGAACGTACATTGCAGGGTGTAACATGGCTGCAGACACAGCTGTAGGTATTAAACAGAAAAGCTGCTCCTGAGCTGGTGGAGGGATTGATTAACCACAAATTGGAGGGATTGATTAACCATCTCGGCAGGCCCTGCCTAATTAACTAGCTTTACCCTCTTACGCTCTTGTCTCACAAAGCCAAAGGACTCATTAGGTAGTGGTTGTCTTAGTCTTCAGCCAAGTACAGGTTGCTACTTTCTGAACCCTGTGGCCTCTCCCATATACTGAAAGTTCCCACAAATAGGCCTGCTTTTTCTAGAGATGTCCATCTATTACCCCACACTCCAGGTATGAGGACTCATAGGACAGGGTGAGAACATTTTTTCCCTATTAGGGAGCTCAATAACCCTTTTCACCACTAGCAAAGGACACTCTGCAGACACATTCACCCAGAACCCTATCTTGTTTTCAAAGATTCGTGACAAGAGGGCAGGTTCCTTTTTAACTTCCATAGCAGTTGTAGGCACCATGACACTAAACCTGTCTCAGGGATTGACCCTTCAATGTTTTCATTGTTTTAAATTGGCATCTCACTGTGTGACCAAACAGAAGAAAAGACTGTGGGGACTTCATTTTATCAAAACTGGCAAAAATATGGTAAGACTAGAGCTGGTGCCTTGCTTCAGGTGCGTAATTGAAGAAAAGAAGGTGAGGCAAACAGGCACTGTCTGCATTCATCAAGAAAATCTTGATATTTCCAGTGAGCCTAGATCCAGAATTATGAGGAAAGGCAGAGGTGGGCGAATTGGAGGGAAGTACTTAAAGGAAACACTAACCATAGCAGTGGGTGTGCCTACACGTGCATTAATGTGCCTTTTCTAATGCACATTAAATTTAGTACCTCTAATGTGAGTTATTAAATTAATGTGCATTAGGCCACACTAATGCTCAGTAGCAGTGGCAATACACAGCGGTTGCACATGTTCCCCTTCCGAGCGCTGGCCATGGAGTGGAGGAGCCAAGTGAAGCGCCGCTGGCACTTCTGGGAGTGCTGTGGCCACTTCCGGGAGTGCCGATCATGCTTCCCAGTCAACGCGATTGGCTGCGGGGAGACCCACCCCACTCTCCCCCCGGTCGGCACAATTGGCTGCGGGGGAGGAGAGGGGACACATGCCCCCCCTGACTCAGGTGGCACCAGTCGCCCATGTTCAGGAGTGCATTTGCATGCTTTCTAAAGTGATGCTTAATGTGCAGTAGACTATTTTACTGCGCATTAGCTTAATGTCATGGTATATGACACTTAATGCTCAGTAAAATAGTCTATTGCATATTAAAGCCCACATGTATACACACCATGTCCCTGAACTCCTGTCTCTTCTTGGAATAAAGGCACCTGAGTTAGAGATACATATTAGATGCCTCTATGTGCTCATAATTCAGACTGCCTAGTCTTCCTCATTGGGTTACAATTTTTGGATTCCTGCCCTTGTGTCAGAGACACTGTTTTTTACTGGAGTCAGTATTTAATTCGCTATCATAAAACATGGACATTAACACCATAGGCCAAGCCTGCATAATGTTAGGTCAAGATGAAAGTGCCTTTGCTTTGAGTGCAAAGCAAAATCTGGGTAGGTCTACTCAAATTAGCAAGCTATGAATTTCTTGTGCGGTATCAACCGGAGCATAAAAAAGCTCTGTCTTTATT